AAATTGATCTAATTGTATGAGATTTATAGAATTAAGTCCCAGATTTAATCTTTGTCATATATACATATGAACAGTTCTATCGTACATTGAATACAATCAAAAGTATAGTATACATTGAGTAAGAAAATTATATATACAACTTGAATTAACCGGAGTTTGAGACATGGTACTATATTGTACCTTAATCCTTAAAGATTAAAATTTGAGTCTTAATTCTACAAATATCATACACTAAGATCAATTTCATTAGAAACAAAAATCGACGGTCATGATTTGTCGAAATATATGCAAAAATTACCTTCACCATTTTGGGATTTAAGGCCTGTGATTTAGATAACTAAGACACATGGTTCACTTATTAAGAGTTAGGATATTAGTATCATGGAACAAAATTCAGTCAATGCAAGATCTAGAAATCATTTTTTTACTAAAAGTATACTATACCTTTGATTTTACTCAAAATATGATAAAAAACCATATATAATATAGTATATATCCTCCCATTACATTAAAAAGAAAGGGGGTTTATTAAGTTTGGTGAGAATGAAATTTGGACTTACAGCACAATCCCGCAGGCTTAGAGCATCCCATCGGCTGTCATGGAGCTCTTTCATTGTGACATGACATCTCTTTTTTCCTATTTCATGGATGTAGCCCTTATTTCGCAAAGTGAAAGATTCCACTAAATGAAATAGCAAATGACATAGTGAGTGGGTGGGGAGTGGGCCTCCTTCCCTTGTTTTGCTCCTTTGTTTTTTTTTTTTTTTTTTCATTTCTACTTTGATTATCTGAATTGCAAATATTGTGGTTTTGTTTTTAACTTCAATTTATTTTGTTAATTATAATTTAAGACAAAAAATTATTATATTAGGTAAATTGATTAATTTTTTATTGATTAATTTTTTAAATTATGAAATTGCCATAAAAAATTAAGTACACATACATATATATAGATATAGCAATTTCACAACTACATCCAAATACAAATTAGATAGCAAATCAATAATAGTTAATAAAAATTCATTAAACACACATAAACAGATACATATATAGAAGTCTTAAACAGTAAACCAAAACAAATAAGCGTACAATCATACACACCTGCATAAATTATTCAAAGCATAGTTGGAGTCGCTGATTGTTTTATGTACAACAAGACACACTTACGTGTGTTTATTCGAAATAGTAATTGTTTGATGTATGATGTGTTTACTCGAAATTGTGATGGTGTAATGTAATTTGTCATTTGCAATTATAATTGTATTAAAAAGTTTGTTGTCACCCACCATATGAGATAGGTAGTGGATTTCATTGATGTAGAGGAAATGAAAGTGGTATGTAATGGAATGAAAAAAGCTGTTGATGTGACCCTGGGCCACATATGAATTAGAAATGATATTTCATGGATGTAGATGGTCTTAGACCCACATTTTACAATTATTTATGGTAAATACAAATTAGATGAATTTGTCCATAACACCCCTCCGCCCTCTACGCAGGAGGCAGGTAAAGTTGAACTAATGGGGTTCGAAAAAAGAACCTCTGTAATGTAAATGTAATGGGAGGATTGCTTATTTGGACCATTCAATGCAAGTGAGCCCACAAAACATTTCCGACCCAGGCCCAGCATTTTCAGTTCATCGCTGGGATTAGGTATGGACATCAAACCATATTGCAAGACTTTTCAATCCCTACTGCTGGAAATTGAGCTTACTAGACACAATCTCAGTCGTTCATTGTTTCATTTCATATGATTATTATTCATGGTAAATAATAGTTGTTGTTATCCATGGTAGATGTCCTAGTGTACAAATAAATAGGGATAACTAGTAACGAGTTGTAACTACTTTCAACAATCTCCTGACATGTGACCCAAAACAATCTTGATTGAGATAGTGAATTCGTATTCGGGTGACTCGCGTAGCAGCAGCAGTCATAGTGATCATCGGTTAAACACATGGTGTAAGATTTAACTTCCCATTCGATTAATGCTCGCTACGGGTTCCACGAGTGGGATTGAACATTTACAACACCCCAACTGTTCTTGCATATAGATTCATACCATCCAAAAAAGAAAAAAAAGCAGCAGTAAGAGAGAGTGGGTACAACAGCAGTGCAGTAAATTGGTACAGCAAAAGCTTTTACATTAGACCCCCTAATGAAGAAAGAGGAGTTCAGTTCAGTAGAGCCTGAGAAACAAAAACAGTACCCCTAACCCTAAAGCAGCAGAATTTGGGAGGGTTTCAATCTGGACCAAACCTCATTCAATGGAGAGACTGAAGCAAACAAAGACCATCAACAAACCCACTTGGTTGGGACCTGAAACTAGACTGCAAATGAGCCGAGCCGAGTCGAGTTTTACTTCAGTTTGAGCTTGGTTCGTTAATAAATGAGTCGAGCCGAGCCGAGTCTAGTTCGAGCTAGCTTGTTTACTAAAATCTTGACTTTTATTTGGCACTTTATTGAGTATATCATGATACATATGATTTATTTTGTTAGCTAATCTCATATTATACTTTGTTGGTATCATATATCATTTAGTTAATAAATTTTAACTACTATGAAATCATGTTATTTCATAGTATATCGAAGCAATCTATGATACATAATTTCTTTTTAAAATAGAAAATAAGATAAATTTGCTCGCCTACTCAACGTGTTAAACATTATATATGGTAATCGAGTAACCGAGTTGGCTCTCTAGCCACATGTTGAGACATATCATGAGCTCTAAACGAGTCAGCTCACGAGGTTAACTCAACAAGCCATCGAGTCGAGCTAGCTCGCGAGCTTCACGAGCTAAACAACGCTTAGCTCATGTTCGGCTCGTTTATTAACAAACCGAATTTCAGACGAGTTTTTCTCAAATCAAACACCGAACCACTCACAAACAGCTCGACTCATTTACGGCCATACCTTAAATCAGTTCAAGCTCTTCCTTCCTTTTCTTCTACTACTAATAAAGTAGAAAGTTCTCTTCAAAGTTTCCAGCCTAAGAAGTAAGAAGAAAGGCTGAATGGGGCCCTACTACCCTCTATCACCATCCCTTACCTCTCTGGTCGACACGTGGCGTTGCAAAACTAAAAAAAAGATTCTTTATTGGGGACTCACTTAACTTTTATCGTCAACGATATTGCCTCTAAAATATGGAATAACTAAAGAAAATGGCCACTGCAATCCATCACCATCAAGTTTTTGTACAAATGGACGTGTCATCTGAAACCCTAACGGATGATGGAAAAGTTGCAAATAACACTCTTAGACATCGTGGAGGGAATTGGAAGCGATTCCAAGTGACCCGACCGATTAATCGATTTGGATTGGAACAAGAATCAGGCTTATTAGTCTACGATTGAGGCCCCTTTTTTTGTTATTAGTCCGTATGATGGCGTGCTAAATCGGACAACTTGAACTGAAATCCCAATGAAAAATAGCGAGAGAGAGGAATATGATGACCGATACGTTACTTATTCCAAATGTTAACGATGTCTCTATTCATACTCATAACTGAACTATCGATCTGTCAACCATACTCTAACATGCAATTGACACCTTTGTTCATACTCATGTCAACTATACTCGAACATGCAATTGACACCTCTATTCATACTCAAAACTGAACTAACGATTTGTCAACGGTCTCGGAAGTTCTATGATCATTTATGTAATTGACCCCATTACAGGATTAGCACACCAAACACCGGGTCCCCCCATAGAATAAGAGATCACATAAACAATTTACACAAGAGACACATCCACCACCAACATTCAAATATATGTACATATATGGAGTGGAGGGGGGAAGGTGGTGGTGGGGAAATGGGAATGCCCTTTGCTTTGGCTGTGTCTGGTTGTGGGGAGAAGAGAAAAGTAGAGATAGAGAGTGAGAGTGAGAAGGAAGAAAGAAAGAAGAAAAGGAAAGGAAAGGGAAATTTGTTTGTTGGGGCCAATGCCAAATAATGTAGTTAGGCAATAACTGAGAGAATTGGCCCCCAGATTGTGAAATGACATAAATGAAAAAAGGCAAAATTGAGGGTGCTGCAGCTGCTGTCTCCCATCTTCTCCTCTCTTCTTTTATCAGTGCTGAGACTGAGAGAGATCCCTCACATAACATTGGTATTGAAACCCCTATTCATTGAATTGGAAGCAGCTACACCAACCCCAGAGAAAGAAGGAAAAGAGAGAGATACAATACCAGACAGGAAACAGCAGAAGAAGAAAGAAACTATTCCTTTTCTGTTTGAATTCAAAAGGAAGCATTTTGTCAGAATCATTCAGCAATTTAATATGATTCTTCCATTTCTGCTAAATGGGTTATTTGTTGATGGTGTAACTGAGCTGTCAGATTGAGTGTGAAAGTTCAAAAACACAGTAGTCAATCAAGGCAAAAAAAGCAATACAACTCCAGTTTAACACGTTGTTCTGTGTTTCACTCATGAATTCTGTGCAATCACAAATCACAATCCACACAGGACGATCAATGCGAAGTGAAATCTGTGAGTTCTGTGAACAAAGCTAGCACCTTTAACAAGGTTTCAATTACCCTCTCCAATCTGATATTGGAGCAGCAAAGCTTCAAACATTTACTGTTGAGGAGTCAACTACCCCTCAGCCAAAATGAAACCTACCCTCCTCTAATGTTAAATCAATGAGATAGGATGGGTAGCCTTAGGAGTAGGTGGATGGACAATCACATTGTAGAATGAGCCACCAAACTAGGACCTTGCTACACCAAAACTACCTCCACAAAAGTGGAACTTGAAATGGCAATGCTCTGCAACACTCAACAAAGCCTCTACAGCACATCATTAGCACCAAGAAACCTTCACATAAACTTAAACAGGAAAAATCAAGCGTGCATACACAAAATGAGGGCTTTCTGGCACTATTAGATGAAAAGAGATCATTTTTTTCAGTATAATTGAGTCTTAACTGATTCTAGTTATATCTGCTTATAGGTCACAACTCACAGGACAACTATAAGTCCTGCATTGTCTATGCCTCAAAAGACCAGCTAATACCAACTTGGAATAAACATTGAAAATTGATTCTCATTTACAATTTTACCTCATCACAGCCTGCCTGCCAATCTCAACATTATCCCTTGCATCTGAACTCTAACATAGCAAAATGACAGCAGCAAAAAGGATTGGCTGAGCATATAGTTCAGAAGCAGAACACAAACTCCCGCACGGATATACATTTCGTCTACACACAACAAAAACATTTGCCTACAAACCTGACCCCTCTATGGTTCAACCGACGAACCTGTTTGTGGGAAACCCTGGTGGCCAGCAGGAGTACTGTCCATCCTCCCCCACATTGTCACTGAAGTGTGCTCTGGGCTCTCTAATGGTAGAAGCATCTGTACTAGGGTCACCTTTCATTGCAGGGAACTCAAATGGACCATGACTACTACTAGCAGGGAAAAAACTGAACTCCTGGTTGTTTGCTGGAGATGGATCATTGAACCTTCCATTGTTGCCTCCATGACCCGAACTTCTTTCCATGGTCATACAAGGATCTGAGGAGAAACCCAACTTCAATGACAAATCACAATGTGCTCCTGCCCTCTGCTCATAGACAGGAAGAGTAGTCCTTGGTGAAGCAATCTCAAGACCTGGGGAGAAGAAATTCTGCAATGCACCCATTTCAGCAGCAGGATCTACAGCTGCTGCCGTACCGATGGGTTTGCCCACGTATATTGGGTTTGATGCTGCTCTCTCTGGGACTTGGGACACAAACTGAGGCTCCTTGTATTGATAGTGATCTCCATAATATAACGGATAGACATTCCCCAAAGGCACACCATCAAATGGCAAAGAGCAGGCATGGCTGGGAGCACCAGCCCTTTGACTGTTACGCTCGAAAGCAGGAAGAGGTGATGAATCCAAAGTTGCTGGTGCTCTTGTATATTGATTGCCGGAGTGAAAAGGCGGTAACTGAGGGCATCTTTCTGCATGTGCATCATTCAAGGTTCTTGCAGGCACTGGAGAAGAAGGTGGTGGAGGTTCTTGGACTCTTGGGGTGAGGTAACTTCTCTGATTAGTATGCCTTTGACTTCTTGAAGCTCTCACAGGAATGCAGCCCAGATTCAAGGCGGCTGAAACAAACATGAACCATTCATCTCTAAATTAAGGAAGTTGAAGTCCCTACATGCTATGAACTTCACATATAAAAAAAAGGTTGAAACTTTAACACTATATAGGCAATGAGCCACGAAACTTATCTAAAACCAGATGCATAATTTACCAGTTACATGCAAATCAAACATGAAATTTCTGTTGTAGAACCCAGTGGTGTTAGTGTACCTTCAACGCAAGGCGGCAAAAGCTTCCCACTTTCACTGCTCTCATCCCTGCGAATGATGGTGTTGATTGCATCATTTACACGATCCCAAAGGGTTTCATGGCTCATGTACTCAGCCTTCAATCAAACCAGAAAGGCCCAAATAGAAATGAGCACCGAGAAACACACAACAAACGCCCAAACAAAGATCGACATCTAAGCAAAGCAAAGAACGGGGAAAAGGGGGGGAAATAGAAAAACTTACAAACTCACCTCAGAGTTAGCTTTCGAGTACATGATTTCCTCGGCCTTCAACACCACAATAGGCAGCTTCTCCTGCCATTCCTTGTTCTTCCTAGTTGCAGCACTGTGAGTCTCACTCACAACCCTATATAAATCAGAACACAGAAATTCAAAGACAAAATGAAAAACCCCACGAAACCAACAGAAAAACAGAAGGACCAAGCAGTAATAGCAACCTGAAAATCTGTTGAATGATTGAACCTCTCATCGATTGGTGCCTATCGCTGTGCCAAGCTCTCCTAACACACTCATAAGGTCTTGGCCCAGGCCTTGGCATCTTTCTCTCCTTTTCTTATCACCCAACTCAAACACTCAATCCAACCATAATCAGCGACCAGAAGAGAAGGGAAATGAAGAAACCAGGAGTGGGTAAGCAGGGGATAGCAATATGAAGAAGATGAACATGCTTAAAGAAGCTGTAGTACACTGAACTACTGCTGCTCCAGCTTCGTAGAGATAAATATATTACTTTCTCTCTACCATCCAAAATAGAGAAAAGGGGAAGGAAGAAGCAAAGCGAAAAACAAAAGGAAAGGGAAATGGATGGGTCACTTCCAATTTCTTTCTTCTTCTTTTCACTCTAATGTTTGTTTTCTTGCCTTCACTTCTTTCAAATCATTACTATCTCTCTCTCCACGGGGCCTCCAACTGATGTTTTGTTTCTTTGGCTGGGGAGCAATAGAGTGGAGAGAAATAATGAGAGATTGGGGGGAAGAAGGGGGAGGGAGAGATATTGGAGGGTTGCTTTCCCATAACTTTGGCCTTTCCTTCACATCCAATTTCTTTACTCCTTTCTTTCTCTCCTTCAATAATTCAAGCTTTTTCTACAACCTTACCATATTTTTGTTTATATTTCATTTTCACATAAACATTCCATTTTCTTTGTGATAGGTCTAATTTATTGTTGGGGCACATACATATTTGTCAGAATTATTTGATAGACCTAGGACCAACCCCCTTGCCTATCTTTCCCCCAATCCTATTTACTTTGTAACTAGTAGGGCTACCTACAAATGAGCGGAGTTGTTCATCGTTTGCAGAAACGAGCCGAGTTTGAGCTAACCTTTGCTCAACTTGAGCAGCTCGTGAGCTAGCTTGACTTGGTGGTTTGTTGAGTTCAACTCGTAAATTGGCTCATTTAGAGTTCATAAGATGTATTTGTCAAGAACCAGTTGATCCCAATAACTCGAGTTCTTGGAAGAGGTTCAATCGTGGATCATATATTGTTTACTAAACACACCTCCTCAAACTCAAGCGACTTAGATAGGCTTGGAGTTTGCACAGGCACAGGTCCGGACACTATGTGCTTAACAGAAACAAATGGGGGTCATTTGGGATTCGAACAGAAGACCTCTTGGTAACAGAAGGCTCTGATACCATGTCAAGAACCAATTGAACCCAATAACTCAAGTTGTTGGAAGATGTTCAATCGTGGATCATATACTGTTTACTAACAGTCTTAACATTGTGGCTAGAGAAGATACTTGTCTGCCATCTTATTAGTGAATCGGTTTGCATCTTATGATTTGAATTTTTATAATTCATAAGTTTGTTAAACTATATATTTCATCCTATATGATGTTTAAAATGTTAAGTATGTGAGCAAAATGTGTCTTTTAATTATGAAAAGAAATTATTTATCATAGTTTGATTCGATACTATTAAATAACAAGATTTGGATAAGTAAATATTAATTAACTAAATAGTTTGATACTAACATAGTAGAATTTTTGTAAACAAGGCCAGCTCGACCTCGACTCGTTAATAAATGAGCTTGAACTCGACTCGATTATTAATGAGTGAAGCTCAAGATGGGGTAAAGCTCGCTCATTTGCAGCCTCAATAACTAGTTAAAACACGTGTCGCATGAAAAAAGTTGTTACTTCATCATTTTCGGATAAAAGATGCTTCCTTTATAACCTCTAACATGAACATTCGAATAAATGTTACGCAATCTGGTAATGTATTGAAATATGTTGAAAATTCTATCTCCAATTAGTTGTACAAAAAATCAAAATGTTAAATGCGACTACTTCGTTAGTAGAAATTCTAACAACAAATGAACAATCAAGATCAGTTACATAAATAGTTTAAATATTTCCAGGCCAAAAACATATATTTCGTAAAATGAGCAAGACGTTAAGCATTAGAATGATTATCATCTTAAAAAATCCATATCTCAAGAAATTCATAACTTTTTTTTTTAAAAGAAATCTGAATATTTATTAATTAAAGAGGCAAAGTGTTGTTACAGTACTTTTGAAGAATGTTGAGAATGAAAATTGGGGGTCTCCCCAGCCAAATTTCGGTCTCCTCCCACCTGCATTTTGCTCTCGCCATTTCATGCGCTGCAGCATTACCTCCTCTTCCCCAAAATCGCCAGCCAACATCTCCTCTTTCCAGACATTGCTCTTTAATCTCCTTTACTATAACCCCCAGCTCCGTCTCAATAGCTCCTTGCCCATACAGCTTTTGAATTAAGGATTTGCAATCTGACTCAATTAGGGTTTTCCTACATGCGTGGGTTTGCAGCAGATCAAGTGCCCATCGCATTGCCTGAGCTTCCGCCATTTCTGGTTCCCAGTCCACTCGCGTTCTTCGCACCGCTGCAAGGATCAGTCTCCCTTCATCGTCGCGAACGACCAGCCCCGTTCCCCCTTCTCTCAATTTGGCCGCATCAACATTTGCCTTCAGGACATCCCTCCCTGGTTTCTCCCACTTCGCCACTTGACGGGGAGCTCTCGTCGGACCTGCATGTTGCACTCCCGACCTGAATTCTTCCAGGTAAGCTTCCGCCCTTGCCATTACTTCACTCTCATCTAGTTTAGGATTGAACAATTGGTTATTGCGTTCCTTCCACAAGAACCAAAGGGCCATAACCATCGAGCATAACACATCATCCGAGACTTTATCGATTAGGTCGCATAACCATTCTTCACTTGATTTCTCCTCTCCTTCCGAAAAGAGGGTTCCCAGAGAACTAGGTCTCCAGATTCGCCCTGCCCAGTCGCAGTCTCTGAGGATGTGTTCCTGGGTCTCACGCAGGCCACAGAAAGGACACTCGTCGCAAGCCTCCCTGACCCTTTTCGATAAGTTAGCTCCCGTGGGCAAAATGTTGCTCCCCCATTTCCAAAGAAACACTCTTACTTTAGGTGGCAACTGGAGATGCCACATCCTCTTCCAATCCATTGGAATGTACCTTTCCCCATTCCCTTCTGTCTTCTTCTTCCGCCAGACATGATACCCTGACTTCACAGAGTATCTCCCAAGCTTGTCCCACCCCAGACTCTCACGTCCGGGCCCTGTGTTCTTGGAATAGGAATTTGAATATTTCTTTCCTGATCCTGCAGGAGAAAATTTGCCTGCAGAGCATTGATCTTCCAGCACCTCTCATTGCTGTCAATTAGTTCAGCCACTTTTGCTTGTAATCCAAGGCTGGACACAGGAGATTCAACTTTAAAATTAGGACTGTTAGGCACCCATCTGTCCCACCACACCCTCACTTTCTCGCCACTACCAATTCGCCATCTCACTCCCTCTTGCATTAGGGGCTTCGCAGCCATTAGACTGCGCCAAATGTAACTCGGGTTGCTCCCCAACTCGGTCTCCATAATATCACAGTTAGGAAAGTATCGAGCCTTAAGAACTCTCGCCACCAAAGATTGAGGGTTTTTTATTATGTTCCATATCTACCTCCCAAGGAGGGCCAGGTTGAAACCGTGAAGGTCTCTAAAGCCCATACCCCCCTCACCCTTAGGTTGGCATAGCCTATCCCAACTCATCCAATGGATGCGTCTTTCCTCCTTTTTCTGCCCCCACCAAAAGCCTGCAATCATCCTCTGCATCTCCTGAATTACCCCCTGCGGGATCAAAAAAATCGACATTGCATAGGTGCTTTGTGCATGAGCAATAGCTTTAATCAAAACCTCTTTAGCAGCATTGGAGAGTAATTTACTCTTCCACATCTTGATCTTCTTACGGACTCGGTCTATGAGTTGTGTAAATACAGCCTTCTTAGATCTTCCAATTATCGTGGGGAGACCTAAGTATTTATCATGTTGTTGTATTTGCTTCATCCCCAAGATACTAACCATCTCCTCCCTTTCCGCCTCCTTCACATTTCCACTGAACGAGAGTTCAGACTTAGGGAGACTAACCTGCTGCCCTGACTCTTCTTCATACAACCGCAGAATCCTCTTCATCTCCTCTCCTTGGTCCTTCTTATTTTCAAAGAAAAATATGTTGTCGTCCGCGAAGAAAAGATGTGATATTGTTGGTCCATTTGAACTGACCTTTATTCCTCTCAACTTCCCTTCTTCCACTGCTCTGTTAGTGAGAGCTGAAAAGACCTTCAGCACAAAGTAAGAACGGGTAGGGGGAGATTGGATCCCCCTGTCTTAGATCACGAGTAGGATAGATCACTTCAGACCTGTGTCCATTGACAAGAACGGAATACGAGACTGTTGTAACACATTGCATAATGAGATTGACCCAGCGTGGGTCAAATCCCAACTTCAGCATCACTTTTTCCAGGAAAAACCACTCTACCCTGTCATACGCTTTGGCTATGTCAAGTTTTGCAGCCACAAACCCTTTCTTACCCTTCTTTCTTCTTTTCATGGCATTAAAGCACTCAAATGCCACCATGACATTATCAGAAATGAACCTGCCAGGGACAAAAGCGCTCTGGTTCTCCGCTATCACTTCTCCCAGGATGTTTTTTAGCCTGTTAGCTAAAACTTTCGAAAGGATCTTGTAAAGAACCTTGCATAGGCTGATCGGCCTGTACTCCATTGGAGTCTTAGGGTCCTTGTTCTTTGGTATAAGAGTCAAAAGGGTCTGGTTAAGACTCTCTGGCACCAAGCCATTCTCGAAATATGATTGTAACTCAGCTGTGATTTGAGGTCCCACTGTAACCTAGTTTTTTTGGAAAAAAAGTGCAGGCATACCATCTGGACCGGGAGCTTTCAGCGGGGCCATAGACTTGAGGGCAAACCATACTTCATCAGACTCAAAAGGCTTCATCAGCTCCGCATTCATTTCAGGTGAGACCTTTCTTTGCACTGCTTCTACCACACTCTGTCCATTAGGAGCAGGTCCTGCTCGAAAGAGAGATTTGAAATATTCCACCATAACCTTAGTGACTCCCTCTTGGCCCTCATGAGTTCTTCCTTCCATGTCTCGGATCTTTAAGATCATGTTTCTCTTTTGACGGTCTGAGGCTTTTAGATGAAAGAACTTGGTGTTCTTATCCCCTTTCCTAAGCCAATCTGACCTAGACCTCTGTTTCCACATAAGTTCCTCCTGGTAATAAAGCTCACTAATTTCCCTCTTAATAGCTCTACGTTGAATAATCAGAGCCCTGTTCTTCTGGCGCTTTGATATGGCATGTAAGGCCTTTTCTACCTTCCTGATCCGTCGTTTAATATTTCCAAACGTCCGTTTACTCCATTTAAGAAGTGCAGTCTCGCACGCCTTTATTCTTTCTTCCATGCCTCGATCTTGTAGTTTGTTCCACTCTTCGGTAATTACCTGGGAACAGTCTTAGTGATTTTGCCAAAACGCTTCGAATCTGAATTGCCATCCCCACTGGGGGTTTTCCCCTTGGGGATAGAGCTCTATAGAAATGGGAAGGTGATCCGAAGTCCACCTCTCTAAGTGATAGACCTGA